TCTTTATACAATATACAGTATACACAATACTACTAATTTAACTTAATTGTTAAAAAACACTGATAATAACCTCACTAATCGCTATAAATCCTTTAAAAATGACAAATGCGAGTTCATTCATCAAAAAAAAAGACAATGTGTAAATACGCCTAAAAAAGGACCATTTTTAGCTACAAGAAAATTATACGTTTCTCCTACAACTTCTGCCCAAAGCCTAAACTTATTTATATTAAACTAAACTTAACTTATTAAACTAAATTTAATTCGTTGTTTATAATTCTTAGCATGAATTATTTTAAATAATTTTACGCAAAAACAATTCTTTCTCACTTGGTTCATTTTTGATTATCAAGAGCAACAACGCGCGCAATGGTAGCACCAAAAAGCGCGCGGGAAGAAAAAAAACAGAAAAAAAAACTAGATCAAGAATGTATTGCCACGATTCAGTTGTACGTATTTACCCATAATAACCTATGAGCAATTTTTTTGTATTTAAAAGAAGATAATCGTATAATCTTTATGATCTTGTTGGTGGCTCCACCGTCTCAGATATCTTTATTTGACAAATACTAGAACTCTAATAAAGCTTCCGTCGTCTATTGACATAACTTCTCCATCTTGAATTTTTACTCAATTACACGTGCATTTGACAGAGATAAAAAGGGTTGAAGGAATCATTTCAGACCACTGCCTTCACGGCTCGGCCTTACAAAGACAATTCAATACCTTTTGAAAATTTCTTAGACGGCTATTTGGCATATATTCGGTGTATTTGATCTTGCTTTTCATACAATTATACGAAAGATTCAATACCAAACTGAACCACTTACCATCTGCGTTTCTACAACACTTAAATACTCAATAATTCAAGCTCTAAGATCTACCTGCGCTACACTGAAAAAGTGTTTAAGTTCCCGACGCTTGGAGAAGACGATTTTAAAACCGACTGACCAATCTTGAAGAAATGAACTTGGAAAAAGCTTTTCTACTTTTGCTTTGCCTGGTAGGTTTGAAAAATTTAAGCTCATAATTTCATGTTAAAATCGTATTATATCTTAGTGTCAATTGTATTCATCGTAACGTTGAGCAACAGGTGTTTCTCATTGAAGAATCATTATCCTTAATTAAATGACTCTAATTTTCATCTAATCTGATAAGCGCTAATTAAGCCTCATTAGTATCGTCAGCATTTTTGGTCGTTTTCTTGGTTTGACATGACTATTGTACAATTCAGTAACAGAACAGGTATGAGAACTTTTGGCGGGAAAACGCGACCGACTTTAAGATAACTATTTCTACAAGAGTTTCTAAAAAAATATTTAGTCTTCAAGAGAGTGTTCGGATCTTGAATTAAGATTGGCTTTATTTTCCATACAATGTCATCTGGAAATACCTTTAATTTCATTAAACCCTACACCTTTTGTCTTATTTTATTTGAACGTTGTAGTTTGTTATAGAGATCTCTTCTGTGCCGCGACACGAAGACGATGTGCTAGATGACATCCTGCCAAAATCTCCTAGTTTAGAAACAAAGAAGACGGAAGCACTGATAGATTCCCTTTGGAATTCAAGGCATGCCAGAAGGGGATTAGACAAGACCAGGTTCACACTTAGAGACGTTCTCTTGAAAAATCGAATGTCGCCTCGTGTACCGGAAGTAAGACAGATCGAAGAAAAACCGCATGCGCGCGCATATTTTAAAGATTTGCTGACCGCTGGTAATTTTGTTGATAAAGAGTTGAAGCCCATGAATTTGACAAAGAAACAATACTCGGATCCTGGGAATCCTTGCGTGGACAAGCGTTTTGCCCTTTGGTTAACGGCGAATTATGTCATACCTGTGGTCAGCTGTCATTATCACATTACGAACGGATGCGCGGAAAGCATACCAAAGTATAGCACAAGACTATGTGAGCCAGTGGTGCATACCATGATGGGAAGGGTCTTTGCAACAGACTGTAAATGTAAAGTATGATGAAATATTATACCAAAAGTCACGGTACAAAAGTATTTTTCAAACAAATGAAATCTCGAAATAGAAATAATTTTAATACTTACTATTCTCTTTGTAAAAAAAAGAATATATTTAAGGAAATTAATCTAATAAAAATGGATTTAAAACCATCTTTCTTGGTCAAAATTGTACGACCTTAGGGGTTTGCCAAAACCGATGTCATCAGTTCTGTAATCAATAGAAGATGAATCCAAGGATCACTTTCAGTGCCGGCTTTCACCGCTACGCAATCATTGCTTCTTTAACTTGAGCATAGTTGCCTGCTCTTATTGATGGGTTGCGAGCATTCCCAAGAGAGTTAAAAGACAAAAACATGGCGGCAATTGTGGTACCGTTAACAATRGATGCTAATGAGAAATCTTTTGTTAAATGGTACCAACATGGCCGCGATGACGTAACGTGCAAACAAAGAATAGTTTTATTGTCGTAATAGCGATTGAAACTACCCGCTTTGCCCTCATCATAAACTAACACGAATATTCTCACTACGAAATAGAGCAAAGCCTTTTGTTTTGGCGAACGTGTTGTCACATTCTACCGTGAAGGCGCTCATCGCCGATTATAAGAAACTCCGAATTAAGGCCCCGTCCACACGTACCCGAAAATTTTTGTTTCCGCAATTTTTTTTGGGGGGGGATACGAAAATGTTGGCGTCCACACGCAGCGTATTCGAATCGTTTTCACTGTCCACACGTATCCGGAAATTTCTTGATCCGCCCTGATACACGCTAGTGCCTAGTCCCTTTGATGGATAGTTTTTCTTATTGAGCATGCGCAAAACCGTGTTTACGTCAGCGTATTCGAAAATTTGCGGATACGACCGTCCACACGTATCCGTATTCGGAGCCTATTCGAAAATTTCCACTCTGGAGACCGTTTTCGAAAATTTTCGGATACGGATACAAAAATTTCCGGATACGTGTGGACGGGCCCTAAAAGAATTCGTTCTTGTTTGGAGAGGGTTACAAACTTGTCTTCTTCATTCTATCAACGATCCACCTATCGACTGCCATTGCACAAAAATATCTTGATATTCCAAGCAAAACTATGTAATTTTGAAATTTTTTTTGGGAAATAAATATTAAAATTCCACCAAGAAAGTTTTATTTTCTTTACAATTTGCTGTTTCTTTCATTTTTAAATAATTCAGCAAAGCTGTGAACACATTTCTACTTAGTTTATGGCTTCGCATTAAAAATTAACAGTTTTTCTTTATTTTATTTTATTTTTTTCATTTTTTACCTCATTTCAATCTTCCTTATCTCAGTCGAAGAACGTTCTAAAATGAAATATAAACCTTAGCTGAGTACTTTTGTTTCTTACATTATTGATGCCACATTAATTGAATAGTTGAATCATAGTTAACTATGGTTGAATGGTAAGATCTATTTTGATCTCAGTGTCGCGACTTTAAAGTGCATATGAACCCTTCGACAATACTTTCAGTACTGATTCTACATGAAGTAAATAGTTGATTGGTAAGATATTTCTTGATTTGAGTGATGCGTCTCTACGTTATGAAGGTTTATACTTCCAATATGCTAATGAGTGTGACGTCTATTAAGGCTTAATTAAATATACAAAATCGAACTGGTTCGTAGATACAGTATTTAAAAAGCATCATTATTTTACACAAGGTTTACATGAAAGCTATTCAAAATTTTTATTTTCAAAATGGCCAGCATTTAGTATTACTAGTTACAACAAAAACACTCAAATACCTTACCTGACGTCATCATCATTAACATATTGGAAGTATAAACCTTTATAACTTAGAGACACATCACTCAAATCAAGAAATATTTTACCAATCAACTATTTACTTTATGCAGAACCAGTACTGAATGTATTGTCAAARGGTTCATTTGCACTTTAAGTTATAAAGGTTTCAATATGTTAATAACAATGACGTCATTGAAGGCTTCATTAAATATACAACATTTAACTTGCTCACACAAAGTATTCGAATTACATTTTTACTAATGGCTTACATGAATGCTATTGCTGGTTTTCAATCATTCCCAAGACAACGAAATAACAAAAGGCACGGAGGCCATGTTGGATGACATAACAAAAGAGACAAATGACGAATCTTTTGTTCAAATCATCCAACATGGCGGCTGTGAAAACCATCAATTAAAAAAAAAATTCTTATAACTTTAGTATTTAGTATTACTAGTTACAGATATTAAATACACTTAAATGCCTTAAAAATCACAGTCATTAACACTATATACATTGGAAGTATTAACCTTTATGACTTGGGTTTTCTTGGAGCTTGAGATATTGAATTATATTTGTAAGAGTTTTATTATAATAATTATTATTATTATCATTATTATAATTATTATTATTATTATTATTATTGAAAACAAAACACTCAAATCAAGCGAAATATTTCGCCATTTAACTAATCACAGCATGTAGAATTAATACTAAAAAGACTGAAATAGGATTTATATCCACCTTTTAGACAAACTGGACGTGACTAACATTCTCTAGAAGATTCTACAAGAATTAGCCTGGTGAGTGGGGAATGGGCACTTATTTACGGTAAGAGGACTGGGCAAAGCATTTGGGCGTCGTTTGGGTAGAATTAACACATCTAGCAGCTAAGAAAATATCGTTATTAGTCAGACYTCTTTACAGGAAAGAAACGACAGTAAAACGATATTTTTTAATCTGAATTCGTTGGGAAATCCTCCGAGATCCCAAAAGCTGGGGCGCCATATGACGTATGTCATTTCAGACCAATCCACTGTAATTTACGAATTACGCAAAAAAAATCTAGCCCGAAGGCAACAGGGGAGAGACTAGCCGGCCCCCAGAACATGCCTACAGCTGATCTCTTGCACTCTGCCACGAACGGAATCGTTAAATATTTGATGTGCAGTCTAATTAGTCTATTATTGTGCATCGTTTCACGGCTGTAGAGCTTTTAAGTGTCAGTGACGTCAATCGTATGGGTAAACGACTTCCGGGTCTAAAACGAAAAGCAGTTCTAAATTTAAAAAATGTCTTACTTAATCTTCATGACAGGATTTGCTGTCCGAAGTTCTATTTGAGAATTTTTTTCACTTTAGTTTAGCTGTTTTTCTGAGCAGTTGGACGCGGTAATAACGTCACAACTTAACAACCCACGTGATTTCGCTTCTCTCAGTCCGATCCAATTTTTCTCAATATTTCCAAGCYCCAGGTTTTCAGCTCGATAAAAAACAGCTTTTACTAGAAAAAGGAGAAAATAAAACTCACCCTAAAAAGAGTCATCAAATATTTTTTTTTTTAGAATATGCATACTTACTCATTGTTAATTGGTAAAATATTATTTCGTTTTGACAAAAGACAATAGAATAAACTTGGAAATCTTGGTTGTGACAAACGATGTATTGCGTGACTAGATTCCAATCTGGTATTTTCATGTTGTGCGCATGCTCAACTCGAAGTGATTGTTTAACGTATTTGGAGATCTTGCCTTATGTTTGCCGCTAAAAAAGTTAAAGGGGTAAATATTAGAGACGTGGGTGGTTCTGGTTTTAGACTTCGTAAAGGCCACGTACTTAGCAAACAAGTTATCTTATTGCGTGTTTTGAGAATTTGATACTGCGGAGGATATATTACAATAGAAATTAATGAGCATCAGCAGGACTTTCTTCTGGAACACTTCTGTAAGACAGTATTTGATACATGTAAGCTTTTTCTTGTTAGTAAAAGCAGGCTTTGAAAAATAGGCGGTTCTTTTTTCTTCCTTGCTTCCTTGCTTCCTTG